CAGTCTTAAACAGCTAAACAACTGACTCTTTTTATCTGAATTTGTACATAGTATTAAGATTTTTTATTTTTTTTTTAGGCAAAATTGTAACGTTAGGGGCAGTGAGCAAGAGGAGCTAAGGGCTGTAGGTTTTGAGTTGAGCAGACCATTGGTCGCAGCTTACCAAATACCACGTTAAGATGTCTTAGGTGGCAGGTAACCAGGTTTATCCCCTTATATATTGGTTGAGGGTCACGAACGCCCAATAGCTTTGCTTGTTCCGTGCGTGTAACGTTTGCCGATTGAACACCAGTTTGAAATGTAAATTTACTTAGATGTAGTCCTATCCAATAAAATGAAATGAATTGTTAAATCATAAATAGTGTGTGGTGAATGAACTTCGTGGGACTTCGGACGGACGGACGGGATCATGGGGGGAGAAAGGATTAGTTCTGGGGAATAAATAAGTTAAGTCGGGGTGCTTTCAGTTAGGGGCTAACCCCACCAGGCCGCGGTTAGCAAAGGTTGAGGAGGGATGGATTGGCCGGCCTCAAGCATGGAGGCGAACCAGAAGTTGGACAGTGGGGGTGGGGGACCGACCGGGGATTAAACGGAGGGGAGTAGTGACGAGAGTTGAAATTGCTTATTGAGGCCTGTCAAAATGCAGTGAAGGTGGTTAGGCACATTGATGATGTCTTGTACGAGGGGGTATGATATTTTTTTTTCTGTTGTCTCGCGACTGATCTGTGGATGAAACAACCCACCCCAACACCGACGAGCTAGTGTGTGCAACCCAACAAGCGTACCCGTAGGTCCACGAAAGGTTCGTCGCGACCTTGTGCGAAGGCATGGTAGGTAACATATGTCACTCGTTACTCATCCGTCAACTCGACCTAATCGGCTTTCAGCCCAGTCTTCTTCAATGGATCTCATCTTACCTCTCTGATAGAACACAAAGAGTTATTGTTAATACTTGTTCTTCCAACATCATTAAAGTTTCTTCAGGAGTTCCTCAGGGAAGCCACCTTGGTCCGATTCTGTTCCTGATATTCATTAATGATATTTCTTCTATAATAAAACATTCAAAAATTTTAATGTATGCCGATGATGTGAAACTTTTTAAAACATTGTCCTCTATCGAAGAAAGGTCTTTGCTACAAGCAGATCTGAACAACGTGGTTAGTTGGTGTAATACAAACTATATGCCACTAAACCTTCAAAAATGTAAAGTTATGTGTTTCTCTCGGAGGACTGTTCAACCAGCTGTTTATTCAATATCAAATTATAATCTGGAGCAGGTATCCAATTTTGTCGATCTTGGTATCACAATGGATTCCAAACTCAATTTCAACCATCATATTAATGAT